AATATATATACATACATACATACATACATACAGACATAAATACATACATATATATATATATATATATATATACCGTATCCCACAATACCTATGTATATACAAACTTTGAATTCATAAATTCGTATTGAGTTAAGAGATGAGCGGTCCCAGTCGACCAGAAGCGTAGTTACAATGTCATGGTCGTCCTACCTTCACACTTGGATTTTTATCGAGCTACACATATACCTAGCAATCAATACATACCCGAATGTACCAGAGCCCAGTAGATGCAACCTCTCATATTGGCTGGAGTGCCCGCAAGGGTGTTTATGTGCTAGTACTGACCTAGAGTTCATTTTATAAACTTGAAACAAGTTCTATCTCTAGTTTGCTAGTGTGGTATGCGCCTATATCTCTTATCTATTTAACATTCTGAGGGAGTGTACCGCCACTGACGATCAAGAAAAGACTATACTACGATTGAATATGAGGTATAACCCCGCAACCACACGAAACAGGGCGTCTTTACGCGTGAAACAAGGTCTTTCTACGAGTATATATATAAATACACATATAATAAAAGACTATACTTAATTTTTATAAATATAGACACATAGATATCCTTTTCAGGTACATACATCAGGATACAGCGAACACCAATCTGTTAATGGAATCCATTTTATACAAGAGCTGAACGTATTTACATATTTAAACCCTATTTATTCGATATATTAAATATGGGTCAAAAAACTAGGGAACAATTGACCTATTTTGCGAACTAATCGGACGAGCTAAGGTATGTATCTGAACACTGAACTTCAGTGCCTCGAATATGCACCCGTCGGTACAGCCATAGGGCCAGCAAGGTATAAACGTTGAGCTGGATCGTACATTTTTCAAAGCGTATACGCTTAACGCCAAACGTAATGATGTTGACAAGTCACATCACCGTTACACAGTGAGGAAATACATATGCGTTAAAATAAAATTATTAGTATTTTCATTTTAATTACACACGCGTTTTTTTTAAACGGGTTTCATCATACGAAACATTTCTGATTTCATGTTGGGCTTTGGAGTTGGGACTTTGGAGTTTGGCCTCTTTGGCTTTGGGCCTTTGGGCCACTTCGGCTGTTCTGGTGGGTATCACTTTGAAAGCAGCAAAGTAATTTGGGGTTTTTTTAAAATAAAAAACATAGTGATAAACAGTCATCAATTTCTATGCTGCTTTGTATTTGTAAGGGGCTCTCTAGACTCAACTGGACTCTGCACGTGCACCCCTCTATGGCATTTATCACAAAAAATAGGAGTATGCTTTCGGATACACAAGAGCTTTGTTATATATTTATACCATAAGTATATATTATATACGCAAGTTACATATAGACAAACATATCCTGAGTGAACGTTCTGATACACAGTCAACTATCCTGATACATACACTATGGTGCGCAAAAAGATAGACAGCCGAGTGCGTACACTCGTTGAGAACGGTGTCAAAACAGGACATCGGTCCTTTTTTGTCCTTGTAGGTGATCACGGGCGCAATCAGATAGTTAATCTACATTATATCCTGTCGAAAGCGACTGTTAAATCGAGACCATCGGTACTTTGGTGTTATAAGAAGGAACTGGGTTTCAGTAGTAATCGAAAGAAGCGTATGCGCCAGATTAAAACAAAGATAGCCAGGGGATTAGTGGACCCAGATACTGATGATCCGTTTGAGTTGTTTGTGTCGGCTACTGATATAAGGTATCGTTGTTTATGAGTATGTACCTAACGCGTTTGACATAATTGATGCTGTTTCTAGCGAACGACTGAAACAAGTCATAGAGTATCTAAATTGACCATTATCATACCACGCATAACTATACAGTGGGGGTAGAGACTGTACGTGTAAAAATGATGGCATTATATATATATATGTATATGTATATACATATATATATATATATATAAATAGTGTGTGTGAGTATATATCTATACATACGTATATAAATAAATAAGACGTGCATT